GCTCCTCAAATTCCTAAACTTTCGTGGGACAATCATACTTGACTGAGAGTACCACCACCATGTTATGAATCACGTCAAAATCAGTTTCTGATATGGAATCAAAATTATCAGTTACCATATCGTCATTCGAAGGTGGTGCTTCCTTTAGTGCTTTCCCTTTTGCTTTTGTTAGCGTATGGAAAAAATAATAGTCTTCCGGCTGGCTTTTTAACCTTGTCAGGGATAGGATTAAGTTGTGGTATATTGGTACCTGATTCTACAGTTTCTCTTTCTGGCTTTTTATTCTTTTGGAACCTCTTCCATTGGGTTCGAGACATGAGATTTTCCTTGTGTAATTGCTAGGCCCATAGGATTATTTCAACACTTTGAACTTCTCTCAATATGACAATGATGAACCTCTGCCCATATCAAAACTTTTCCACTTTTGGTGGCTAGGTCCCTCTTTTCCCAAAGGTCGCGTCCATTTCCCTTGATGAGCATTGGATGTTGAGACAAAAGTGTTTAGTTTTTTCCCCTGGTGAGTCAGGAACTTCTGTTGTTGCTTTTTCTGGGGCACTCCCTTTTTGTCAAAATAAAACTGGATTTTTTTATTCCCACACTTCCCTTTCTACTTATCATTTTAAGCATTATTCAAATCCTTAGTAGCTTTTTAGTCAAAAAGTGTTGCATCTTGGTGCATTACTTCAGAATCCTTGAGTTTACAGTGGTTGAGGAATTCAATCAACTCATCTGTTGCACTGGGGTAAACTACCTTCATTTCCTCCTCAATATTCTCGCCAATTCTACTTCAACTTCCATATTGTTGTCTTTAGTAACCTAGACCATATTGACCTCGAGATCTTCAATAACCTCGACCATATTGATCTCAACTGGTTGAGCATAGTTGGCTTCAATCTGCAATGGGTCAGAGTCAATTTTCAATGGTTCCTTTTTTTGTCAGCGAATTTCAGTCTTCCTTTTTCCAAAGCATTCTGGACAAGATCCCTAAAAAGAAAATATTGGGAAGTTTAATGACCCAAAAAATTTAGGTATTTGCAAAACCCTTTTTTCTTCCTTTGCTCTACTGGCGGTATTTTTGCACCTTGTTGCACCAAAATTTGGCCAGTAGTAACCACTAAGTCGAAAATTTCATCGCATTTGGTTACGTCAAAGGTTTAAGTTTTCTTTGGGAATTTGTCACTTTTTTCTGATTCGACAGGGTTCTTTCCATTTGCTGGTGTAAAGAGTTTACACGTAAATAGGGGTCTTGGCTTTAACTCATCTAAGTTAACTTCGTTCTACCTGACATAATTGTATTCGACGTCAGATACTAGGTCATTCTCTTCTATGTCAATATAAGTCATCCTTTCTTTCTTGTGTCTAATTTCCTTAGCCTTTTCTGCATAACATTCGACTTAGCGAACTCTATCAACTAGTTGAGCTATATCCCTCAGATATTAGATGTCCAATTTCTTCTTGATGAAATAATCTAAGCCTCTCACTACCATCTTAACTTGTTCATGTTCCGGCACTTGGGCGAAACACCTTGCCTTCAATAGTCGAAATCTATTGTGGTATTCGTCGATTGATTCAGCGAACTTTCGCTTCACACTTGCTAATTCTTTCAAGCTAATCTTAGATTACCCCATGTAGAATTGTTCGTGAAATAACCTTTCTAACTGAGTGTAATTATTTATGGAGTGTGCAAGGAGTGTTATAAACCATGTGAAGGAATTTTTCTGAGAGAATTTAAGAAATATCTCATCCTTAGATTCTCCTTGTTTGCAATATCCCCTGCTTCAGTCAAATATCGAGCGATATGTTCGACAGTGAAACAACTAGGGCCACCAACAAATTTGGTGAACTTAGGGACTTTCCAACCCCTTGGGGCTTCTATCTATATTACATATTTTGACATAAGGGAAGTATAATTGGGCCTAAGCAGGCCTATGTTCAAACCATTCTAGGCCATGATTCTTTCGACCATGGCTACAAGGTTATTTTGTCCTGCCAGATTTTATTGTTGGACCTGATGGACTAGTTGGTCACCATCTTGATTTCTATTAGCCAAGACTGGTGGATTCTTTTGTTAGAGACCCATAAGTATCTATTGTTCGACAACTTAAGGCACAAACTGCTCACCTTGGTTTACTATGTTTTCCTCATTAATTATTCATACATTATGATTTGGCCTCACCAACTGGGGTATAGTTTGACATTGAAAGCGCCAAAAAAATCAATGATTCGAAATATTTTAGTCGCTAACTGCTGATAACTTTGATTCATATTCTAAAATAAAGGGTTAAACACAATGCATATTTGTCGGGTGACCATCTCATCCATTTGTTGTATCATAACCATCATAGAATTTGTGGTTACTGGTGGCATCACTGGAGGGACGAATATTGCCCTTATTTGTGACTGCAGATTTTGACTGGGATGCTTATAGTAAACCCTGATGCCAAATGAGGATTAACTGGTGACAACACAGTTGCATTATCGGCAAAAGTTGACGTATTCGAGTGCAAACCCGCCTTCATCATTGTTGGCATACTGTAAGGTTGCTCTCAATTAAACATAGAAAATGTTAAACTTGGGCCATAAGGTCTAAAGTCACTTTCCATAGATTGTGTAACCTTTGGTAATATGAGGATACTCAACGCAATTGACGGGGGAATTATTGCCCCATCTTGCACAATCAAAGATGTCATCGTCGTACTTGTTATGGAGACGCTTGCTCCAGTCGAAGATGCAGTGACCGTGCCTCCAGTCATATAATAGGGTTTTCATTCTTTATTAGTATTGATATTTCTAGAATTTTCCATTCTAACATATCTTTTTCTAGTTGAAACGAGAACTTTCTTATTGGTTATTTTACCACATCTCAATTTCATACACATAAGACAATGAAAAATTTAATGAATGAAGAACTTTCTAAACAAAATTTCGCACAAAAAAGTGTCCCACAAGGTTTGACATATTATTTACCGTGAAATTTGATAAACAAAGGCAAGTTTGATTTTACTTAAGGGATTAAACTCGAAAATATCATGGAACTAATTGGTGCAAAAAATTGTATGTTTTGGGAGATTTTGACAATGAACGTTAAAAAGATAATTCAGTAAAGTAAATAGGTAACAAATAAAAGTTAAAGGAGGAGATTAACTTTATAAATGGAACGCAAATACATTCATTGAAAACTCGTTTCTCACTTTCACAGTTGGATATTTTGAGTGCGTAATGTGGTCTACAATAGTCGACTTAACAAAACTTGACACGTCTTCGTCTTCATGCAGTTTTTGTCCTTGACAGGCTTCCACGTGTTCTAGAATAATTGTATGACTTTATCCATATTCTTTGATAAAAACATCATAGCCATGTCAACGGGAAGAAATTCTCCAAATTTCAATAAGTCTTTTAATTCGATCAATAAGTCTTTTAATTCGACCAGAGTCTTCCATGAACCTCTCAACCAGCTTTCCCAACCCTTATCGACAAAAAATTCTTATCAAAAGGTTGTGGTCTTATGGTCGAAAATGCCCATTTCAGCTATGGGCAAAACCTCAACTACATACCATAGCCATATTCGATTATGAAATCTCACATTTATTATTAGTGTTGAAAATATGAAATAACACCTATACATTTTAATTAACAACTTTAATGAAATCATTGATTTGTTAGATAAAGATGTTTAGACTTCACCCAAAAAAAAATTTCCTGCACCAACTTCCCTAGCTCATTCGTTTTCGCATTTAAAGCTGAAAGAGAACCACACTTTTCACTTCTTGTGCCTTTCTCTAAATCTTCCTTCCATTATTGATTTCCTTACAAGAAAATTATCTCATTTTAAAAGGACAAAATCCAACCACTTCCTTCCTAAAATTAATTGACCCCTATTTGGGGTCAATACATCTCTTACCTAATGTGTTGAAGTGTTAACACTCCGGCCGTTCGTGGCAGATGGTATGACATTTCTGCCATCGCTTTCAGAGGGCTTGACTCAATCAAATGAACAAAATAGGTGTAGTCACTTTTGCGTATTTTTAATTCACTTTTAATCATTCAATTTTATAGAATCAATCGACTCAAAATCAATTTAATCACCCCAAAATCAAACAGACAAATTCAAATATTATTGGATTATCACATTGCACAATATGCTGCTTCAACCTAAGAGCTTGTCTCGAGTTCATAGAGATGTAAATTTTGGGACAGTTATAGTAGTAATTAGGAGTGATACGTTGCAGTGGTAGTCGAAAGTTTTACTTGTATTAAATCAGTATCAATGTTGTTTCTTATATGGACTTGATTGGGTCAATTAGCATTACTCCGCGTGGAGACTCTGATGCACTGGTAGAGCAATTTTAACGTCTCAGTTCCGTTGGTCAATTGTGCAGCATTGTTGGCTAATCAAGAGACTTTGTTTGCATAACATCAGTTTGCCTTTTCTGTTTAACAGCAGAGGCATTGTATTTTGATTGGCAAAGTGGGTGGTGGCTTTGTGTAGTGGGTTTTGCTAAAACAATGCCTCTTAACTCAAACAAACATTAGTGTGCACTAGTCTTTTCTAGAAGAAAAAAATATTATATTTTTAAATATAAGAAATGAATTTAACCCTTTTTCGGTCAAGATTACCTTATCATATAATTCAATTATTTATTCCTCTGTTTCCTTAAAAGGATTCACCCTTGTTACTTGAAAAAACAAATTCAATATAAAATAAACAAAATTCAAAATATTAAAAGTAAAAAAAAAATTAAACATTGAAAACTATGGATACCGTAGTAGTATTATACAAAAACCAGATCTACAAACTCAGAAAAAAGAGTTCGATTCCTAATAGTACTGCTATCTGCCTTCTAAATTTATTTTTCCTTTTCCCTTTTCTCTCAACAAAACTAAACTCATCTTTAAAAAAAAAAAAAAACTACTCGAATTACATCATCGGAATCTACACGAACGTGCTCTGTTTCCTCTGCCTCCGGTAGCCACGCTTTCTACAGCTTCTATCTTGTTTTTCAATTCTGATTAGTTGTTTCTCCTCCACTCACTATCCAAGGGTGTCCTGAAAAAAATCACAAAAAGAAAATCAGTAATCATAATCAATATTCATAATCAAATCAGTATTAAAACTATAAAGTGAAAAAGTAAAAACAATATTGATAAGTAAACATACTCAAGGCTTGTTCTGCAGAAAATCTTCTGGAAGCATCTCTACAAATCATTTTTCTCAAGAGATCCTTAGCAGAGGATGAAACGGAACGGAAGATTCTAGACGGAAACCTCAGATTCGCTCTAATAACCGCTTCAAAAATTTCACTAGCAGAATCTCCGTAAAAAGGAGGAATTCCGCTCAACATTATGTACAGTACCACACCAACACTCCACACATCAACTTTTTCTGTATAATCTCTTCCTAAAAGAACCTCGGGCGCCACGTAATACGGCGTTCCAACAACACCGCTCATGGTTCTGCCGTCGCCGAACCATTCCGCCGAACCAAAATCAGCTAATTTGAGATTATCGTTAGAATCAAAGAGAATGTTATCCGGCTTGATGTCACGGTGCGCGACACCGAGACGGTGGCAGTGAACAACGGCCTCGAGAAGCTTTTTGATGAGAGACGCCGCTTGTTGTTCGGTGAAAGGATTTGAAACGATGCGATCGAGGAGAGTGAGAGGTTGACAAAGCTCTAAAACGATGGATAAGAAATCGTCGTTTTCGAAAACGTCAAAGATTTGAAGGATGTTAGGGTGAGGCGAAAGGAGAGAGAGGAATTTCGGTTCGTTCTGGAGACACTCACGATCGGTGGAATCGGAGAGGAGGGATTTGTCGATGACTTTGCAGGCGTGAGGTACGGCGGAGCTAGGGTGGAAGCACCGGTAAATGGTGCCAAAACGCCCACGTCCGATCTCGTCGCTGAGTTGGTAGTTGGTTTTTAGGGTTTCGCACATTTCAACACTTTTCTTTTGATTTTGATTTTGGAGTTATGAGTTATCAGAAGTTATGGTTGGTATTATTTATAGAAAAAAAATATAAGTGTGAAGAGTGTGAGAGGGTGAAAGTGGAATGTACTTTGGCATATTAGAAAAAGGATATTCCTTCGGTGGATACTACCATTCAAATCGTACCACGTTAATTATAACTGACGGTAATTAAAAAATCAAAATAGTAACGGAAGCGTCCGTTTTTTCCGTTAACATTTTGTTTTGCAATTATATAGGAAAAAAAACAGAAAATACTTGACCAAAGAGAACCAGAAAAAAAAAAGCAGGAATAGCAAACTTCTTCCTGATAAATAGCAACTTGTTGATTTTAATGGTTTAAAAGTTAGCATATAATTATAGTAAATTAATACTACCTCCGTCTTTAACCTGTTGCATTTTTTCCATCTCTTTTTTATAAGATTCTCTTCATCTTTTAAAACGTATTAATTATTATTTTCTAAAATATCTTTAATTATATTATATCCTTTTCTGCATTATCTAATATATACATAATATACACATTAATTATTTTTTTCTATTAAAAATAAATCAAGAAAAATTATACAAAATAGTTAATATATTTAACATTCCAACCGATTTTTTTAATTTTTTTAGTTTTCTCAACAGAATTTTATATTTAAGAACGGAGATAATAACAAATAAAATAAAAAATAAAAATTTGTACTCTATAAAAATATAGAATATGAGTTACTTTAAACTAAATTAATTCTACAAAAATATATATGTCCTTTTATGCATAAAAAATTGTATATAATAAATTTATTATTTAATAAATTTTTATTTTTAATATTAAAAAAGTCTGAGGTATATTGTTTTGTAGTTGTTGACCATTATAAGTTTTTTTTAATATTTGTCAAAATTATTTTTATCAAAACATATTTTTATTTTATTTTAAAAATCTTAGTATCCGATCTTATGACCGACTAATTTAAGAGAGATCAATTTCATCATTCACAAGTGAATGTTCTGTTCAAAGCAGAGCAAAGTTCAGTATCAAGTGCCTCACACAAAAATTAATTATACTTAATAGAATTCAAACTTGAAACCTTGAGAGGAGCACTTATCGAAACATACTTAAACTCTTATTTTTATATAAAAAGTCATAATAAACATATGAAAATGTTTTAGAAGTAATTATATATATATATATATATATATATATATATATATATATATATATATATATATATATATATATATATATATATATATATATATATATATATATATATATATATATATATATATATATATATATATATATATATATATATATATAAAGGTTTATTTTCAGTTATATTATTATAATTTATGAAAATATTATTGCAAATATTTTTTAATTAAATTATAATATATTTAATGTAAAATAATTTGAATATTTAAACCTATCTTGAAACGAAATACTAGATTATTATACTCTGATAATTAATTTTAGGGCTCTTTGTTTTTTTAAAAATAAAAAATATTTAGTGTTTCAATGATGCTTATGTGTTCTATTCTCAAAAATAAAACTTATGTGTTCTATTCTCAAAAAAATAAAAATAATATATATATATATATATATATATATATATATATATATATATATATATATATATATATATATATATATATATATATATATATATATATATATATATATATATATATATATATATATATATATATATATATATATATATATATATATATATATATATATTTTGAATTAGCTATTGCAAAAATTATTTTTAATATGATAGAGAAAAAAATATAATTTATAGTATCTATACTATTCAACTATATTAATACAATGATTTTATTTTAGGTCTCTGATTGCCTTTCAATGATTTTGAAGTTAAAGTTCTGAATCATTTCATGTTCAACTCCTCACAATTGAACCTTGTGAGTCAGAACTTAATCAAAGTCTTTCAATATTGGTGTGACTATCAGGGAGGAAAATCATCTTTGTCACTCTTCTTTGATTTTTTCAATGTAGAACAGAGCATAATGAATTATGCGGAAGGTCAAGGCTTAATTACACTAACGCAATTTACTCGTTACTTTGAAGTGTATTTAGATGGCGTGGAACATTTCAAAGATTGGTTCTTTTATACACTCCTCTCAACAAAGAGGCTCATGCGAATGTATGTGCCATAGATACTGCATCAGAATACCGATGTACGGGTTTATTTCATAAGTTTATGAACCAAGTCCGCTTTTTAATGGGGGAAAGGTTCATATGTCTACAAGCAATGTGACTTGTCAAAGGAAGAACTTTACATGAATAAACAATTAATCACATTCTTCAAAGAATTAGGTTATGATAGGGGCGTTGTCCCTTGTGATTAAGCCTTAAGGAAACGTTTGATGCAGTTCATCCAAACTCGCTTGGAGATGGACAAAAATACCAAGAAGGAGAAAATGCCCTCTCCAAAGGAACAATGAGGTGAAAGATTGTAGAACTAATTTCCATCAGCAAAAAGGCGGGGGTACCTTTACCAAGGGCTAGAAAAGGCATATGCTCGACCTCCGAATAGTAAAAAGTTTGTGAGAATCTATAATGAAATCTTTTTGTTGGTTATAATAGTCACGTTCGACCATTTTGACGTCTCTGAATAGTGATTGAAGGTGGCATCTCTTGTGATGTCATGTACTCGAAACTTTTTAAGAAGATGGATCTGAAGAAAGAAAATTTTTGGCCATATGAAGGATCCAATCTGTAGGCATTCAATGGTATGCCAACCTGACCCTATGGGTACATCTAACTTATGATAACCGTAGGGAAAAAGAAAGATACTAAAGACAATATGTTCCAATTTCTCAAAATCATTTATACCAAGAATTATTTCGCTCCCTTACAAGTAAATTATGTCAGTTTTTAATTTGTACACACATTAAATATTTTATATATGTGTACTAATTATACTACACCCATCTAATGGTTTAGAAGAACAAAGACATATATTAAATGAAATCATGCAAGTGGTTCGAAACTACCAAGGATGTCAGTTTTCTCTATATGGTTATGGTGAAACTGGTAAAAAAATATACGTGGAACACGTTGTCTGCTGTATTTCGTTCAAAAATAGAATTTTTTTAAATTGTTGTCCCAATTTAGAATGCAAGTTTACTGTTACTAGGAGAAAGAAAAACTCATTCTAAATTTAATATTCTGGTTACTACCATTGAAACCTTAATTTGCAGCATAGACAAAGAATGTGAACTTGTGGAGCTACTAAAAGTAACAAATCTAAATCTATGGGATGAAGCTTATATGACCACTACAACATTTATTGTCTCTTGCAACACTGGAAAAGTGTTGCTAGAGTTATGAAAATCGTTGCCTAAAAGAATAGGCAACAATTTCCAGGTGTCTTTTATGCTAGCGTTGCCTATTATCTAAGGGGACGCTTATTTTTCTCTTTAGGCACACTATTCATAATCGTTCCCTATAATAATAAGATAGGGGACGTTTTCTCGCTTAACCTTTAAGCAATGCTTTTTAAGTGTTGCCACAAGCACCAACAATTATAAATCGTTGCCTTAGAGTAATATTTTGTTTTGAAAAGTTTCTACAATTTACACAATTCAACAATATTTAAAAATTAGGACAATTGTAGGGCTCAGTTCATATACAATACTTTAATGTTCGTCATCCAAGAAGAGTTGAACTTATACACAAAATTTAAATTAAGTAATAAAATACATAAATTAAAATTTTATATTAACTAATAAAAAGATAAATTTATACATAAGATTCTTTAAACTAATTTAATAATTTAGTTTGTCAAGCACAAAAATTATGTACTCATAGCTATGGACAAGTGGCAAATTCAGTTTGTATTAGAAGTGCAATAAATCCAATTACTCTAATAATGAATATACATTAAACAGTTGGTGTGGTCACCCCACCATCATGAAGTTCCTTCCTCTCTTCGAACACTACTGGCCATATGAATCCTTCCTTGCAAAGTGCTAACTCATCGGGGAGGATTTAATAAGAACCACATTCATGTTGAAGGAAAGTTGAGTGAATTGGTCACTATATGTATAACAAATTCTTCTTGTTCCTGCATTTTAAAAGTGGTTATCAAGTTTTATTACCATTATATATACAAACTTAATACTTTTAAGAAGATATCAAATTTAACCAAAAAAATATAAACATAAAGATTTAACCTTTCTTATAAGGAAGAAAGATCGCACAAAACTTGAATAAATACCTCAACAAAGTTATTATAAAAAAATAACTGTAAATTAAAAAAAAATGAACAAAGTTAATTTATAGAAGAAAGAGTTCTCGAACTCCAACTTGACGTTAATCTCGCAAATAGTTCTAGAGCTCCAACTTGATGTCAATCAATCTTCTGGCATCTAAATAAAATAGAAAACATTAATAATTAAAAAAATGATACAAATTCATATAAATAAAAAAATCAAAAGGTTTTGTTTTTACCGTTTTTAGGATATTGGAAAAAATAACCACAATTCACAAAGATTTCAATGTAGAATTAGTAACTATTTGTAAAAGGTAAAATCGAATTAGGAATGGAAATAGAAAATCGATATGGGCAGGAAAATCACTACAGAGAATGAACAATCGATTAAGTGAAGGAACAATCGATTCCGTGAAGGAACAATAGATTATGGAAAGGAACAAGCATTTCAGAGAAGGGAAATCGATTTGGAAAAAAATTATATGGTGAAGGAACTGTCAATTCGGTGAACAATCTATTTGGCGAAGGAACGTTATTTTGAAGATAAAAATCAATTTGGGAAAAAAATGATCGAGTGAAGGAACAATCAATTTCGTGAATCCGCATATTCTCTTGTTCAACCTCCATTGAATCAAAGGACATAGAAGAAAAAGTAAAACAGTGAAGAAAATTGTGAAATTTGGAATTGATTTAGAGTTTCTGTTGTGAAAGATAGTTAGGCATAAGCTGCGGCGGCACAAAGAAGGT